AGACCATCTGGGGGCAGGCTGCACTGGCGGGCTCTTGTTGAGAATGGTGGGGAACAAGGCTGGTTAGAGAGGCCTGGGAGACTGTGGAGGCCCCAGGACCAGGACGAGGACTTTCTCCTCTAAGGAATCAAGATTCCACGGAGATTTTGACCAGGAGAGTGTTATGGGACAGAAAGCAGAGCAGGTTGAATAGAGGTGGGTCAGCTGCCCCAGGTAGGGAAATGGTCATAAGCACCTTGCACGGGACACTGGTGCACCCGTGTCTCCTTTCATTCATTTCCAGGTGAACTGTAGTCATCCCAACCCAAGTCCCACCTTGGCAGCAACTTGCCCCTTTGGAGCCCTGGCCAGCCCACCTCACCTCTCTGAGCTTGAGTGAAATGTCCCCCCAAATCCAGTTTCCTCACCGTTATAGTAATGATATCAGGACCGCCCTACTGAAGGCTCATTACCTAGCCTCTCTTGAAGGTATCTGTGGCCATGTGACAACAGCTGGCCAATGGGATATCAGGGAAAATGATTGCCACCTCCTGGTCACATAAATATACGAATAGATGAGAGATACATGATCCGATGAAGAAATAAAGTTACAGCGAAGGATGAATGCCTCTGGCAAGTATGGCACTGAGGACTTGCTATGTCAGGCTCTTTCTAGGTGCTGTGTGTGTGTGCTCAGTCATGTCCAATGTTTTGCGGCCCTGCGGACTATAGCCCACCAGATTCTTCTGCCTGTGGCATGCTCCAGGCAGGACTGGAGTGGGGTGTCATTTCCTCTTCCAAGGGATCTTCCTGACCTGGGAATCGAAACCTCATCTCTTGGGCCTCCTGCTTTGGCCGGTGGATTCTTTTCTCTTTTTTTAATGTGTTTATTTTTTGGCTCGGCTGAGCTTTGTTGCCGTGCAGGCTTTTCACCAGGTGTGATGCTCAGGCTCCTCATTGCGGTGACTTCTTTTGTTGCGGAGCATGGGCTCTAGGGTACAGGCTCAATGATTGTGACACACAGACCTAGCTGTTCCGTGGCATGTGAGATCTTCCCGGATCCAGGATTGAACCCGTGTCTCCTGCAATGGCAAGTGGATTCTGTGCCACTAGCACCACTGAGGAAGCCCCATGCTAGGTGCTGAGGATATGGCAATGAGCAAAATTATTGAAGCGCCTGTTGTCATGGGGTTGAGTGGAATGAGTAGAACACAAGCAATGCAAGTAAACAGAGGGCTGAACGAGTCTGAGCGAGTCTGTACCCAGAGGGGCAAAAGAAACAAAAAGCTTGGTGGAAGGCGAGGGTGGGGCAAGAACTGCTTTAGACAGAGCAGTCAGGGAAGGCCTCGTGGAGGAGGTGGCATCTCAGCCGAGGCCTGGGTGAAGAGGGCAAGCAAGTCATGGGTTTCTGGAGGGAAAAGAGCCCTGGGGAAATGAGAGACAGCTGGGTGGCTCGGGATGGAGCTGAGGGATGGAGGGGAGGGCTGGAAACGAGCCAGGGGACCACCAGTTCTTCTCTCTCCAGACCCAGGGGAGCTGAGCAGCGGGGAGGCGGAGGAGCTGCAGCAGATCAAATGGCACCGGAAGCAGCTTCTGGAGGACATCCAGGTGTGCTCACACTCAGCTCACAATACACACGCTTTTGTCCACATGTGTGTTCATGCCCTTGAACCACGCCCACACATCAGCAAACACTCTTACTTGCTCCTGACCCAGCCAGGACCAAGAGCAGGTCTAGATTCCAGCCCACTCAGAGCTTTGGCCTTGGCCCTTAGGAGTGGGAAGGACAGAATTTGCAAGGGAACTCCCCACTCCTGGCTCAGCTTCCAGGGCCCAGGGAGAGCCAGGAGAGCAGGGCAGAGAAAGGGAGCAATCGATTAAGCACCTACTATGTGCAGAGCCCCACCTGCATGGCCTCCATCTGGTCTCATCCCCACCCTGGGCCTCAGCTTCCACCCTCCTAACATATAGACCATTTAGTCAAGATAACGCCAATATCTGCCTAGCACTTTGCCACCTCATCAGCTCTCAGACATTAGTTCATCTGATTCCCAGAAGCTTTCTGAGACAGGCCCTGCTTCTGTTCCTGGAATGAGCCACCCAGCTCAGTACTGCCCCTGGGCCTTTGCACTCACAGTTCCCTCTGCCTGAGACTCTCCAAGCCCTCCTAGAGCTCCTCCTTCTCCTAGTTCATTCTTGGCTCAAATGTCTCTCCTCTTAGGGGCCGCCCTGTCTACCCTGGCTGTAGTTGCTGGAACCCCACCCTCCACCCCACCACGCATATACCTAGGATTCCAGAGAAAGACAAAGGCATGGGGTCATTCCCTCAGCAAGTACCTACCACCTGACAGGCTCTTTCTAGACCACTGCTCTGACCATGTTCTGTGTGGTCATTTCAATTGTCCCAAGATCCCAACCCCACTCTACCATGAGCTCCATGTAAGGGGAGCCTGGGTCTGTTTCCCACCCCTGCATCCCCAGCCCAATGGTCAGAGCATAGTAGGTGTTCAATTAATAATTTTGCATGGACCCACCCCCCATTTTATTTGTGGAGAATTCACTCAGTGACTGGGCCAAGATCACATGGACAGGAGCTGACTGGGCTTAGAAGCTCTAGGTTCCAGGCTGCCCCTAGGTCCCAGGACAAACCCCTAGGAACCACCCCCCACCCCTTCCAAGGTCTTGGGGGAGGAGAGGGAGGGCTGGGGTGCCTTCAGGGGCTCTTGCCAGGTGCTCATGCTGCTGCCCTGCAGAGGGATGCTGGATGAGCTGCCACACCTCCCCATCTACCCAGTGGTGGTTGTTGGCAGAGTTAGGGAGTCTCCTGGAGATATGTTGGACACATGATCTCACCACTCTGGGCCTCAGTGTCCTCTTCTGTAAATTCCGCTGGAGTGGCAAAGTCCCCGAGAAGAGAGCCTGGACTGTCTTATGCCGTGGTGCACCCAGAGAATCTGGCTTGTAGTGGTCACAGAGTCTAGGGCGGGGTAAATGGATAGGGGGAGGGAAACTAGAGAGGAGTTGGGCCCTGATCACAGGGCAGGAATTTGTCCTTCCTGACACGGAGGCAGTAGGGAGCCATTGACAGAGTTTGAGCGGAAGAAGGGCAGACACCAAGCTGTGCTTCAGAAAAATGGCAGCTGGGAGGAGGAGGGCTTGTGGGGAAGGTTTGACTCAGGGCAGGACACTTTAGAGCAGCAGAGGCAAAAGATAGGAAGACTGGAAATAGAGTGCGGACTGGGGACTGCCTCACCCTGAGACAGGAGCCCCGGGAGAATTAGATATAAACAGAGGCAGTAACCTTGGCTTTGGATTTTGAAGATAAGAGACATCTGGAAAAGGGATCTTCTTGCGGAGGGAGCCTTAGTGACAGCTCAAGACAGAGGTCTGGGAGTCACGCCCAGGGTGGGAGTGGTTGTGTTGGGGTGGGGGTGTGACGGAGAGGGCTGTGAAGCCCTTTCTGTCCTGGCATCCACCCCCTGACTCTCCCTCTTCATAATGCCCCTGCCACTCCACAGAAGCTGAAGGATGAGATCGCAGATGTGTTTGCCCAAATCGACTGCTTCGAGACAGCAGAGGAGAGGTGAGGCGCCGGCCGGGGACCCAGGGAAGCTGCCACAGTGGTTTCTCAAAGATGTCACATGTCATGAGAGTGAATGAGCCCAGGCCCTGGTGAAATCAGGGATCAGACCCCCAGAGGGGAGGCTCTGGGGTGAAATAGGAACGCGGCAGCTCTGACAGTCCAGCCTCTGGTCTGGTCTGGTCCTTGCTTCCAGACTGTCCCCTCTCTTCAGTATCAATCCCCGTTCTCCTGCCTCCTCCACCCCAAGTCTCTCCCAGCCCACCTGACCCCGCCCCTGACCAATCATTGCCCAGGAGCATCCTGGGGAGGGTCAGGGAGGAGGAAAACTCAGCCCCAAGGATGAGGACTAGGAAGCCAAAGGCATTATGGGAACAGAAGCCACGCCTATGGTCAGGCCAAAGCTGGTCCACCCCACCCCACCCATGGGTGTCATCCACTCCACCCCTTCTGTGGGAAGACACCCCCTGTCTCTGTAACCTGCGGTTGGTCCTCTCCCTTCTCTGGGCTTCAGTTCCCTACTTGTGCAATGAGAAGTTTGGTCCATTCATAACCCCTAGGGGCCTCAGGGCACTGACTCTATGTTTGGTGTCTCAGAAGATCCCCACCCTGCCCCTGTCAGCCTCATTTCTCTGATGCCTCTGATCTCCACCTTCCAAGCAGGACACACACATGCACACAGATGCACACACACACACATGCACACAGATGCATGCACACAGATGCACACACACACATGCACACAGATGCACACACACGTGCACACAGATGCACACACACATACACACACATGCACACAGATGCACACACATACACACACATGCACACAGATGCACACATACACACACACACACACGTGCACAGCCCCCATGTCTCTAGATCCCCTGCTTCAGCCCCCAACAATGACAAGAACATAATATTTACACAGCTCCTACCACCCGTTGTTTTCAATGCTTTAACCTCTCAACAATGCTTGGGATGCCAGGGGTGGAGTCACACCCCATTTTACAGAAGAGGAAACTGAGTCCCAGAGAGATGAAGTGACTCCCCCTGAGTGGGATTTGCACCAGGAGTCTGGCTCCAGAGCTTATGCTCTCCTCCCCACCCCCCACCCCACCCACCAGCCTCCTTGTTACGTTGCTTCCACTCCAAGCCCTTCTAAATCCTCTCCCCTGGGAGCATCTCTGGCTCCCCAGGTCACAGCTTCAGAACTGGTTAAAATGCTGGCACTGAGCCCTTTGGAAATTGGGTTTCCTGGCTCAGGAAGGGGTCCAGACCCTGCATTTCTCACATTCTCCCAGGTGACTCTGACCCCACTTGGAGGTCCTTAAGGAATGCTGGCTCTAGCCAAGGAAAGCATCCTTGGGGATTGGAAGGGTGCCCTGGGGTCCAGGGGTGTCCAGGCTGATGTCTTTCCATCTACAGCCGCATGGCCCAGAGGGAGAAAGAGCTGTGCATCGGGCGCAAGAAATTCAACATGGACCCCATGAAGGTGGGCAGTGCGGGGCTCGGGTTGGGTGGTCAAGGGAGCTGCACGCTGGGCATCGCCACAGTGTCTCCTTCTTCCCCTCAACCAACACAATTACCTACTTTCCAGAGGAGGAAACTGGGGCCCCGCTGGGCTCAGCATCTTGTCCAGTGCCCCCACACCATCAGGGCTGGGGGCTCCGCCACCCCACAGCCAAGTAGCCCCGGGGCCTAAGGTGGGAGCCAGGAGGATGATGGGGGCTCTGTGATGTCTTTGAACTTGGGGTCCCATGACTCTGGGCCCCTGTCTCCTAGTCTGTGAGTGGTTGGGCCTTTGGACTCTGGGGCTCAGTCTCTGGAAGTGTCTTTTAGTTGCTCAGCTTAGGCAGCCTGTCCTGAGAGGCTGGCATAGAGCCCTGAATGCTCAGATCTCAGCTATGGTCTAACCCCCACCCCCACTGGCCTCAGAGCAACCGCAGCGCCCACCCCTCGCCCAGCTAGGTGGCAGCTGGGCTCCTTTCCTGCAGGAACCGAGGCAGGAGGAAGCCACAGCTGACACGTCGAAGTGGGGTCAGGGCAGCCACAGGGTCCCTGGAAATTTACTGCTCTGGTTTAGAGGGCTGCCTCTTCGGCATCACAGATCTCCTGTGTTCCCAGACACAGAAACGGACCCCTTCTCATCCATGTGGACCACACAGACCACACACACACACACACACACTCACATTCCTGCCTGAGTGCCCCTCAGAGAGGGGCCTCTGAGGGGTCCCCTGGGCCATCTGCCTGTCACACAGAGCCTTCCACAGCCTATCCCCACTCTTCCAAGCAGCCTCTTCTCCAAAAGGAACAGGGATGCAAAGGCCTCATCACAGGAAACCAGAGCCCAAACCCTCCAACGCCTAAAATTAGAATGACAGACTTTGAGTGCCTGGGTTGTGAGGTGAGATGTTTTGATATTGTCAAATCCGAAAAGCGGGGCAAGGCACACTCCCATTTTCACACAGCAAGGGGAGGAAAGGCACTGCCGGGGTGTCTACCTCCGAGCCGTAGCAATTTCCTCTCCTTTTGATTGAGCTGGGTTTTTCCCTAATTTTTATACAATGGACATAGATTACTCGTGAGAAAAAAGTGAAACACTGTTTTTAAATTATACAAACATTAAGCTGAATCATTCAATCTTAAAATTATAAATTCATCGAATCATCAAAGCATATGATCAGAGAGTGGCAGACTGAGGGGGGTCTGGGGGAGCAGCTGGCATGAACCTGGTTCATGGCAGGAACACATGTCTGTTTGCACACCTCTGCTGATGGGGAACTCATCACCTTACAAAGGCAGCTTCAGTTAAGGAGGGTCACAAGTTCCCAGAACAAGCTGTGCCAATGCTAGAATTCCAGGCCCCAGGGCTCTGGCCACGGGCGCTCCCTCTCTCTCCCTTCCCAGGCCAGCCGCTGGGTGGGGGCTGCTCACAGGCTCTGTGTACCACCTCCAGGGCATCCAGTATCTCATTGAGCACAAGCTGCTAACCCCCGACGTCCAGGACATCGCCCAGTTCTTGTACAAGGGCGAGGGACTCAACAAGACAGCCATCGGCACCTACTTGGGAGAGAGGTAAGGAGGGTGGGACCTTAGGAAGGCAGGGAATGAGGATGTGCAGGTGTGCACAGGTACGTGTGAGGGGTGGGTCGTGTGTGCAGGTAACTAAGGAATGAAGCATGTTAGGAAAGTCGTAACTCCTGAGGCTTGAGCAGGTTAAGTGACCACTCTCCTTCCAGACCTTGAATCAAAGCATGTCTGCCTTCATTCCTTCCTTCATTCATTTAGAAAACAAGTAGATATTTTTAATATCTACTGTGCTTCCTGCATAGCTCAGTCGGTAAAGCATCTGCCTGCAACGTGGGAGACCTGGGTTCAATTCCTGGGTCAGGAAGTTCCCCTGGAGAAGAAAATGGCAACTCATTCCAGTACTCTTGCCTGGAGAATCCCATGGACAGAAGAGCCTGGCGGGCTACAGTTCATGGGATGGCAAGAGTCGGACACGACTTAGTGCTATCTTTACTAGGTGCACCAGGCAGTGTTCTAAGTCCTGGGTTTATACCAGTGAACAAGACAAAGCTCCAGGGGCGGGGGTGGGGATAAACTGGGAGTGTGGGATTAACAGATGCACAATACCATACATAGCAGATTAACAACAAAGAATTACTGTGTAGCACAGAGAGCTATATTCAATATCGTGTAGTAAACTACAATGGAAAAGAATTGAAAATAAAGAATATATATATGTGTGTGTGAAAAGTGAAAGTGAAAGTTGAGTCGCTCAGTCGTGTCCGACTTTTTGCGACCCCATGGATTGTAGACTACCAGGCTCCTCTGTCCACGGGATTTTCCAGGCAAGAGTACTGGAGTGGATTGCCATTTCCTTCTCCAGAGGATCTTCCCAACCCAGGGATCAAACCCAGGTCTCTCACTTTGTAGGCAGACTCTTTATCATCTGAGCCCCCAGGGAAGTCCCTATATATTTATGTATATATATGCAAATCATTTTGCTGTACGCCTGAAAATAACACAGTTGTAAATCAACTATACTTCAATTAAAAAGAAGAAAGCTTCTGCCATCAGGGAAGGTACATTCTAATGGGGAAGACAGGTACCAAAATATGTAAAATAAGTTAGAAAAAATTAAAAGTTCTTTGGAATACAAACAAAGCAAGAAAGGGAGATTAGAAAGTTCTGAGAACCATGCTTCAAAGACTGTGACTTTAAATAGTGTGGACACAAAGGGTCTCACAGAGAAGGTGACCTTTGACTGAAATTTAGAGACGGTAAGCAGTGTGGCTCTGGGGGAAGAGCATTTCAGGCAGAGGGAACAGCACATGAAAAGGCCCTGGGGCAGAAGCCTGCTGAAGGAACAACAAGCCAGTGAGACAGGAGTAGAAGGATGGAGGGTGGGAGGAAGTAGTCAGTGACAGGTGGGGATCCCTGAGACGGTACTGGGCCGAGGGGTACTCTGAGGGGATCCCTCTGGCTGCTGGGGGAGGGCATAAACCGTAGAGGACAGGTACGGAGCTGGGCCAGCAAGCCAGCACCCCCTCTCCCAGGCACCTCAGATAACACTCTCCTTCTCCTGAGCAAGCCAGGAATGCAGCTGGCAAGAAGGGCAGGGCTTTCTGACTTCAGATCTGAGAAGACAGAGGAAGTGGGGGTGGACATGGTTCTCTCCATTTTACAGATGAGAATACCGGGGCTTGGGGAGGTTGGGTGGTTTGTGAGGGGTCACCCAGACAGAATGTGACTCAGCACAGGCCACTCCGAATCCAGAGCCCCCATCCTGATTGAGGTCAGTGCTGGTAAGCCAGGAGGGTGTGGGGGGGTCTGCTGTGAGTGGGAGGACATGGGTGTGCAGATCGTGGTGGGAGGACGGTGATGCGGGGTCAAACATGTGAACAGACCAGAGTGTGGCTGGATTCAGAAGGAGGATGTCTCTCCCCTCCTCAGCCTCCCCCACCTCAACCCCTCTAGAAGGGGGTACAAATGCTCAAATGTGTCCCACCCTCCCTTCTGTCTCCTCTCCAGAGACCCCATCAACCTGCAGGTCCTCCAGGCCTTTGTAGATTGCCATGAGTTTGCTAACCTCAACCTCGTCCAGGCCCTCAGGTGAGTGGTCCAGGGGGCAGGGGCCTGATTCCCAAGGGGTTGGAGGGGTGTTGGGGGAACCATCATCCACATGGCTAACAGCGCAAACAAAGCATCAGGCTCAAGAATTAATTAAAGAGGGAATTCCCTGGGGATCCAGTGGTTCAGACTCAGTTCTTTCACTGCTGAGGGCTTGAGTTCAATCCCTGGTCAGGGAACTAAGATCCTGCAAGCTGTGCAGTGCGGCCAAAAAATTGTTTTTAATAAATAAATAGAAGTAATTGATGACAGTATCCCCAAAGAGAGCTGAGGTTAAATGAGATAACAGGCATGGACTGCCTGAATCAGCACCTGGCTTGTTACTACTACTACTACTACTACTAATGATTATATCATTATTATAATAATGTTGAATCATTTTAATCATTATTACTATTATTATGACTGCTATTCCCACTGATTTTTGAATTAGTGCTTATTTTATTTCTTTTATTAATACAGCTTGGTGTGTACTACATTTATTATTACTTATCATTTTCTAATTAGGATATTATTTTTGCTACTCATTTTTATAGTGATGGGAGGCATTAATATATATGGGTAAGGAGCACATACTCTGGAGCTAGACTGCACAGTTCACACCCTATATCTGCTACTCACCCCTGGGGAAAGTGACATACACACAAAAAAACCCTTTCTGTGTCTCAGTTTCTTTATCTGTAAAATGGGGTTAATAACAACACCAACCTCAGGGTGGTGAGGACTAAGTAAGAAAGTGCTTAGAATTGATCCATAGTAAGGGTTTAGTAAGTCTTGCTGCTGCAGATGATGTCTGGAAAATCATCTCCTGAGTAGGGGCATTTGATCTAGGTTTGGACAGATGATTAGGAGTTTGCAAGGCAGAGAAGGAAAAAGCCACCACTATCTAAGCAATGTGGCCTTCCCTCCAACTCTCATGCTTTTTAAAGGAGAGGGGTAGGTTGAGAGTCTCCAAAATTCATTCGTTCATTTATTCATTTTTTTCATTCTCTCACTCATTTAACAAGACTTTACTGAGCAGGCACTGGCTCAGAAAACACAGTCCCAGTGTTCAAGCCTCAGCGGGAGATGTGAGAGGAGCAGGCATGGCCCTTGACCTTGGTGAATTCAGCTGGAAGCTGTGGATATCATTCAGTTCCAAGAAAAGGAAGCTCAGCCAAGGAAAGACAACCTCCCCAGGGTCCCACAGATCCCAGAGCCCAGTGGCCAGGTGGAGAGAGGCCTTAGAACCTGAGAATCCGCATTGGTCCCCTCATAGGCTGGGGTGGACTGGGCCACAAATGGTGCTAGGCCACAGATGGGCAGAGAAGAGTGTCCACTAACCTCCTATATTCTAGAAGAAAAGGCATTTCTTGGATCCTTCCTGCAGACTTGGTGCTCACAGCACAAATTCCACTGACCCTTCCCATTAGTCTAGATGTCAGGTGCAGAGTCTCCCATTTACAGGATAAAGAGACTAAGCATGAGAGAGGCAGAGCAGTTTATTGAAGGGGAGGAATGGGGGGCCCTCTTACCCCCTCTGAGAGCCCTCCTCCTCCACTGCCCATGGCTCTGTTCCCCGACCCCAGACAATTCCTGTGGAGCTTCCGGCTGCCAGGTGAGGCCCAGAAGATCGACCGCATGATGGAGACCTTCGCCTCCCGATACTGCCTCTGCAACCCCGGCGTCTTCCAGTCCACAGGTGCCTATGTGGGAGGGGACCCCGCCAGGTGCGAACCTACCTCCTGAGGCACCAGGTCTCTCCCAAGCACCCAGACCCTGGGAGCCCAGATCCTGTCACCAGCCTTCACTGAGCACCATATCTGTGCCAGACCCTCTGCTGGGTGTGTGTCAGGCAGAGCTGCCTACACACACATCTCCCAAGGGCAAGATCCTTGGGAGAGAAGACAGGAAATAATGGCGTGGGGTGCTAAGGTATCAGTGTCTCATCTGAGGGTGGGGGTGGGGGATTCAGCATGTCCAGGCTGGCTTCCCAGAGGACCTGATGTCTGAATGGGGTTTTGAAGGATGAATAGGAGTTCTTCAGGAGGTCAAGGGGAGAAAGGGTCTTTGGGACTGGGGTTCTAGTTTGAGCAAAGGCATGGAAGCAGAAACAGACTGGGCAGGATGCACAGGGCCAGGGTGGATAAGATGGATATCAGCAAAAATCAGTCCTCCACACTTCCTGACAGGGTGGGAGAGAAATGATGGCAGGCTTGTCCTGGTCTCTTCTCTGGATCTGAAGGTACCATGGCAATAACCAAGTCCAAGTACTAAGCACTCCCCAGATGCTAAGTGCTTTACCTATGCAAGTCATGTAATCCTTACATCTACTCTGTGAGGTCAGCAGTGTTCTCATCCTTGCACATAAAGACTCAGAGAAGTGAAGGGGGCTTCTTAGCAGTGTGTCTATGGACAAGTCCTACAGAGCATTTGCCCACCTTGTGGTTATACATAAATTAGGGATTTGCTTGCTTATTACCTATCAGCTCCACAATTTTAAACAACCCACAAGTGTGGGGACCATACAGATTTTTTCACCAGTGAATCCCCATTCTGTAGCATTTATTAGTTATTCAATAAATATTTGTAGGAAGGAAGGAATTTTAAAGCACCAGATTTGAATCACCGTTGAACTACTTAATCTTGTGACCTGGGACATGTAATTTACTCTCCCTGTGCCTCAGTTTCCTAATCTGTAAAATGGGTGGGGGCAGTAACAGTGCTGGCCTCGTTAGTGTTATCAGGGGATGCAAAGAGTTTAGCACAGGGCAAGCACCAGCAACATTAAAGCCACTGTTATCAGAGGTAAAATCGTTAATGAACACGAAGCTCTTTCAAAGTTAAACCTTCTAAAATATTGCAGGGACTTCCCGTGTGGCATTAGTGGTAAAGAACCCGCCTACCAATGCAGGTTAGACATAAGAGACACAGGTTCGATCCCTGGGTCAGGAAGATCCCCTGGAGGAGGGCATGGCAACCCACTCCAGTATTCTTGCCTGGAGAATCCCATAGACAGAGGAGTCTGGCGGCCTACAGTCCATGGGGTCACAAAGAGTCAGACACAACTAAAGCGACTTAACATACCTCATATTGCAGATGGGGAAGCTGAGGCTTTAGGAACTCAAGCGCTTTTCAAGGTCAACCGGAGAGCTGGGGTCACAGCTGAACTTTGCTGGCTCAGATTCAGGGATTTAAAACATCACAGAGTAGCGATCATTTCCCTCCCAAACGCTCAGCCGGGCCTGGCTCCTGAGCGCAAGCACGTGAAAGTCTGAATAATAGAACAGGAGCTCGGCTCTGGGAGCCCACAATGCTAGCAAGATTACCAAGCAGCACGTGACCCAGCCCTGAACAGGGTAGCAAACAATAAGCATCCTCTGAGTTCCAAGGAGGCAGAGAACAGAGTGGGCCGGAGGGCAGGAAGGGCTCAGCGGGGAGGAGGGCTGGAGCAGGAGATTAAAGAGCAGGGGGGTTTAAATGGGTAGAAAAGGGGAGAGGAGGTCGTGCCAGGCAGGGGGCCCGGCAGGAGCAGAAGTGCCGGGTGGGAGGCACACAGGGGCCCGGGGAACTGACAGCTGAAGCTTGTTTGCAGCAGGGAGCTCTGGAAGAGTGGGAGGTGAGGTTAGGACGTGAATGCCAAGCCGGGAGGACAGGGTGGACCTTCAGGGCATTGAGACAGCCAACTCTCCGTCCCGGAGTGGTTAGGGCCAGGACTCTGACCGCTGTCGCGTCCCGCAGACACCTGCTACGTCCTGTCCTTCTCCATCATCATGCTCAACACCAGCCTCCACAACCCCAACGTCCGGGACAGGCCACCCTTCGAGCGCTTTGTGTCCATGAACCGTGGCATCAACGACGGCAGTGACCTGCCTGAGGAGCAGCTGCGGGTAAGAGGGGCGTGGCCCCGGCCAGCTGGTCTCCAGGCGTCCAGGAGGAGCCTGCCTTTGGGCGGATGACCCAAGAGGGGCTCATCTAAGAGAGGCCTTTCCAGGAGGGGGCCCTCCCAGGTCAATAACTGTCTTGAGATGTGCTAAGTTGCTTCAGCTGTGTCTGACTCTTTTTCGACACTATGGACTGTTGCCAGCCAGGCTCCTCTGTCCAGGGGATGGACCGTCACAAAAGAGGTTGGTCCTGAAATGGGCTTTCGGAAGCAGTCCCATCTTAAGAAGGAAGTCCAAGACTGAACACCCAGGAGGTCCGCCCAGACCTCAGCCTTTGGGGAGCTCTAGACACCCATCATTCATACCTTCCTCGAAAGGGTGCCTCACACCACCTAGTCTATTTCTTGGAATCCCAGAGTCTTAGACTTTCAGTGGGTCAGAGCAGAAAATTCCCAGTCTCTGCTCAAACCCCTCCCTCTTACAGAGAGGAAGAAGCTGGTCTTCCATAGGCTACACATCAGCTCCAGAGTCGAGCGGAACCCAGGCTTCCTATCCCATCCTAAACAGCCCCCACCCCTGCCACACTGCACCAGGCTCTGGCCTGGCATGGGGCATTCAGGGATGAATCAACCCAAGTTCAGTGTCTGGTGGGAAGATAAAAGGACATGTGAATTACAGCCCTGCCTGATTCAAGCTATGCTGATCATAGGAACCTAGCTATGGAGACCCAGCAGACAATACTATCACTCTCCCAGGGGCAGGGAAAGAGTGCCATCCTGGAAGACTTCACAGAGGAGGTGACTTTTGAACTGGCCTTGAAGGTTGAGTGGGAGTTTGCCCAGAGGAGAAGCAGGGGAAGGGCATTCCAGAAAGAGGAAGTGGCCAGCACTTGACTTGGTAGGGAAAGGGAGGGGCATCCGAGGTAGCCATCTGGGTACAGACAGACAGTGAGGGGCACCAAGGTGGGGCCAGAGTGCCCAGGGCTTTGAACTACAGCCTGCAGAGTTTACCTGCTTCCTATAGGCAAAGTGGAGCTGGGAACTATCTTAGAAAGACAGGAGTGAGATTCAAAGCCTGGCTCAGCAAAAATGAAATGACAGTTCATTTCTAGGATTAGAGGTGCCCAAAGCTCTATAGAGTTTCAGTTCCCTCTGGGTCAGAGTCTGGCAGGAGAGGAGGAGACAGTGTGAACCCCACCCTGGCAGCTTAGCACCCTGTGTATGTTCTGCAGCAGAAGTCTGGTGGGGGTGGGGGAGAGCCTATATCTGGAATGACTCTGGTGTTCTTCAGGATTTGAAAACAGCTATGCCCTTAGCCCTTCACCCTCCTCGATCCCCAGAGAAAATTTATTTTGGAGGGGGGCATGATATGAAATTGGAGAAGGAAATGGCAACCCACTCCAGTATTCTTGCCTGGAGAATCCCATGGACGAGGAGCCTGGTAGGCTACAGTCCACGGGGTTGCAAAGAGTCAGACACAACTGAGCGACTTCACTTTCACTTTTTTCACTTTATGATATGAAATGAGGGCTTGAGAGTAGATTAGAGCTCAGGTCAAGTCCCATCTCCCTGTTGTTTGCCTCCTGGATGACCTTGAGTAATGACTCACCCTCTCGGGGCCACCATTTCCTCAACCAGGAGAACGGGAATAATGACGCCTGCGTCACAGAGCTGCTGTGAGTAGTAATTTTTAAAAACGTAAAGAGCATAGCCCATGCCAGGTACGTAGCTCAAGCTCTAAATGGTAGCTTAGGTCGCTATTAAGAATCATTAATAATTATTTAAAATCCCCAGCCCTTAGTAAACTGCCTGAAATGTGAAAGGCCTTTGAAAACTTATCTCATTGTGGTACTTAGAAGAGCAGGAAGCTGGGCACACCTGGTCTGGCAGGTAATGAGTTAACAGCCTGCCAGCACCAGCCCTGTTGGATCTCCCAGGTGCCACTTTATTGCTTCTGTCCCGGGAGAGCCTCCTTCAGCAGCTCCCTCCTTAGGTATTTTTCCCAATTCAAGTCTTTTGTTAATAACAATGCGCTGCATTTGTATAGAGCTTGTAACTTTCTTCTCATAGGGCTTTTGGGTCTATTATCTCAATTTAGCTTCAAACTCTGCCTGGGAGGTCTGGAAAGGGTTTATTATCCTCCTTGGCAGCCGAGAGGCAGGGAAAAGAACAGAGCGTTGGAGTCACAGCCACATCCAAGTGCTAGCTCCTCCATTTTCTAGTTGTGTGACTTTAGGTAAGAGGCTTGACCTCTCTGAGCTCCCAGCTTATGGGATTAGTGTAGACATGTAAGGTATTTAGCACAGCACCTATGTCTCTGGGCTGGCTAATGAATCCAGAAGCTTTCAGGGCACAAAGAGACCCACACTGGCCTAGTCCTTGCTCTTCAAGGTTTTTACAGAAAGCTGCTGTGGACTGGGGGGTCTTCTTGCTTTCTTTTGGGGCTTCAGCATCCCCATGTGTAAAGCAAGGACTCAGCTTTAAGTATCTTTAAGTATCAGTTTGTGGCTTTGTGGAAGGATTCTCCAGGACAAATAACATTTTTAAGTGACCTGATTTATGAAATTAAATTGACACAGACACATCACCTAAAGAGAGGTCACTCTGTGACCATGAGGATACGCAGGTGGGAAAGGCTTTGGAGAGGTGCCTGATGGGAGCGGGGGCTCAGGCAGGTAAGCGAGTCTTGCCCTGGCCATCCTGATGGGGACAGGGCAGAGTGCCTAAGAGACTCAGGGCAAAGGCATAGGCTGTGGATTCAGAGGATAGGAGATCAAATTCCAGCTCCGCCTTTATGGCTGCGTGTCCTTGAGTGTGAGCCTCGGTTTCTCCATCTGCAAAGTGGGCTGATGACACTGACCTTACATTGTTCTCCTGAGAAGCAGACAAAGCACTTCAAGTGCCTGGCTCCACTCACCATGACACGGCTGCCCAGAGAGGGACTTGGGGTGGAGAAGGAAAAGAAAGAGAGGAGAAGGAGGAGAGCTCATCCACCCTCTGGTGTCACAGGTGGAGAAATCAAGGCCCAGCAAAGGAAACAGTCAGTTCAGGGCATCTTTTGCTGTAGGTAGGGCCAGACCTCCTGGGTTCTTGTCCAAGCATCTCCTTCAGAAATGACTGTATATTGGGCTCCTTAAGTTCTCCTGACAACCACAGGCATCAGGTACCATTCCCACTCCACCCCACCCCCAGGTTACAGCAAAGGAAACTGAGCTCCAATAGAGGTAGCTGGCCAGGGGGGCTAAGTCTGTGAGGAGTCTGGGTTCAAACCCATGGCTACCTGAGCCCTCCCCTCTGCAGAGACCAGAAAGGAAGATTTGGGAATGCAGATGTTGACTTGTTTCCCAGCTTCCAGTTTCTTCCTTGGCTGGAGGAATGCTCAACTCATGTCAATGAAAAGATGGGGGACTGATGGTCAGCTTCAGGTTCGGCTAGATCCAGGTGCTTCATTGAGGTCAGGGCTCAATCTGGTCTCTCCATCTCTGAGCAATCTCCTCTTCCAAATTGACTTCCCTCTTAAACAGGCTTTCCCCCAAGCTCCCCAGAGAGGACCTGGGCAAACTCCAGGTTTCCATCTTGCTTAACAGTTTAGAGTCCCAGAATGAAGGCTTATTGGTTGGTGTGGGTCACAAGTCCCTCTCTGAATCAGTTGCTGTGACCAGTAGGAAGAAATGCTCTAACTAGCCAGATGGGAGTCATTCCCTGTCTCCTGGAGCTGAGAGGGAGTGCTGGGTGGGCAGTGTCAAACCCCTGAGCAACCTGGACAGAAGGTAAGGGGGTGATTCTCCAGAGGAGAACAGAGTGGGTGGGGAAGGGTGGATGCAAGGCCAGCACAACCACTGGTGAGTAGCTGTTGTCTTTCTGATCATGTCTACCCAGCCAGGAGAAGACAGCCTGATTTGGTGGTGGCAGGTGCAAGGGTGTTTTCTTACAGGAGGTGAGGGGAGCCTGGTTTTACAAGGTACAGGAAATGTGGGTGAACAGAGCCTCTTTCCTTGTGGGGGCAGAATGTGTAGGCTGTAGGAGGCCCGCAAAAGCTGCCGGGGGCTCCCCGTGGGTGTCGTGAAGGATGAGGCCTTGTCTGTCCCCCTGCTTGCCCCCTTGGGCCTTCAGAATATTTGTATGGGCTGCCAGCTTTGCTGACAGAGAACAGGTCTTAGAGAACAGAACTCCTTCAACCAGCCGGGGCTACTAGGGAAACCTCAGGGCCAGGCTGGGCCAGAGCGGGAGAGGCAGGGGCTTCCTGGCTGCTCTTAGGAATGTGGGGACTCCAAAAAGGGAAATTGGTCCCTGCCCTTCCCCACTCAACCCACCGCAGCCAGCTGAGTCCCCTCCGTCAAACCCAGGAAAACCTGCTACAGGCCAACACCCTCCTCCCCTACTCTCTTACCCTACCACCATCCCTAAGCTCCTGGATCAGAAAAGATGTTTAAAAACCAGCAAACACCATTTCTAAAACTTTGGGGAATCGAACAGTACTTGTGAAATTTTTCATTTAACATTTCAAGGAAACCATCTGAACAGCAGCACACACAAACACAACAGAAGGAAATGATTTCATTATGTCGATGATGGTGACCCACCATTGTGCCTGGTTTTAATCAGCAGAATTAGACAATTTAGAATGTTTTTCCCAAACAGTTGGAAATCTGGGCAGGTTGTCCATGGAAGGCAGTGTCCCACAGCAGGGGGTTCAAAACACAGAGGGATGATCGTTGCCAACATCTACAACTCTCCCGCAGGGAATTCTCAGCCTGGCTTGCATACCTCTGGTGACAGGGAACCCATTGTCCTACAAAGTTGCTTCTTCCATATTTCAGCAGCTCTAACCTCTAGAAAGTCCTTCACGGAGAACTGAAATCTGCTTTCTGGGAAATTCCCATGCCCCAGAAGAGATCTCTGGTGTCTTCCTAGGAGAGGGGTCTGTAAGAGCCAAGATCAGCTTCCCACCTTGAGGCACATAGAGTCACTGACCTGCCCGAGGCCACATAGGCCAGACCCAGGCCCTGGATAAATGTCACAGCGGGTCTCTCCCTCCCTTCTCTTGGGGCAGAACCTCTTCGACAGCATCAAGAGCGAGCCCTTCTCCATCCCCGAGGACGATGGCAATGACCTCACCCACACCTTCTTCAAACCCGACCGCGAGGGCTGGCTGCTCAAACTGGGTAAGACACACACTCCTGCACTCTGGGGCACATGCACTGATGTGCCTACACACTCATGCAACACGGCTGACACACACACCCATTTGACTTGAAGCCTCGGGTGGTGGAGTTGAGCACCTCCTGAGCCCCAGGGCAGCAGTCACCTTGTCCGAACCCTCCCTCCATCTGTCCTGGGGATGAGGGGACAGTGGGGGAGGGAACAATGAGCAAGAAGGGAGACGAAAAGCTGACAGATTCAGAGATAAGCCCTTCAACCGCAGATCTTTCTTCCTGAAGTGATTCTGAGGAAGCCCAGGCCCAGTGAGGTTAAAGGACCAGCCCAAAGCCACATAGCCAGCCAGTGGCAGAATTTGGTGGGCAGATGGTTGGGTGTCCTGAAAGACGGGGGGAGGGAGTGTGAGAGGATGTGGCTTGGGGAACCTCTCCTCAACAGGACTGAGGGCAGGGAGGGCCTTGGGCCTGCAGAGGGGAGCTGTGGTGGGTGCCATGGCAGCAGCTGCTGTAAGTTCTAGCAGCGGAACTGTAGGACCTGGCCATCTGAGCCTGCCACCCCCACACATGCTGGGCACCTCTGGGCAAGGGCAGCCAGCCAGGCACAGAGGCTTTCTAAGTCAAGGGAGGACAGATGCCGTATGTGGGAGCAGGGCCCTGGCCTGAGGGCCCATCCAGACCCTCCATCTCTCCAGGCCCACCTCCCAGTCCATCCACCTGCAGACTGCAACCTCCTTTTCTTGCCCAGCTGACAGTTTTCAGCCCCAGGGCAGCTCCCAGCTCCTCCATCCATCCTTGGCCTCAGTTGCCATAGCTGTGGAATGGTAACAGTCATCCTTGGGAGGATTAAACATGTGGGGAAATGACCATACACCTGGGCTCTGGGGCTCAGACACTGGGGTTCAATTCCCAGCTCTGCTGCCAGACCTTGAGCAGATGACGTACCCTCTCTGCCCTGCGGTCTCCTCATCTGTAAAAGAGGGTTAATAACGGTCCGCTCCTCATAGGCAGTCATAGGGATTAATAAGTGAATGTTTCTTGAATCCTCTAGAACTTTGCCTGGCAAGTGAAAGATGAAAGGCTTAGCATAGCACCAGGCAGGGAGCGGGCCAAGAAATGAACGGAGTGGTGGGGACAGGAGGAAAGTGCAGGAATGGCCAGCCTGCCCCTGGGGCCAGACTAGAGAGGAGCTCTGGGGCAGCCTGGAGGTGATGGAACCCCTCAGGTTTTAAGTGGGGGAGAGATAGATGAGGGGGAGGTGTGACAAGCTAGGGGTTAGGGGGCCAGGGTGGGGGCCCAGAGGTGGGCATCGGAGGCCCTGCTCTTCCGTGGAGAGAAGTGCTGGAGCCCAGGGCAGAGGAGGGCTCACTAGCTCCATCGCTGGCTCTTGCAGGCGGCCGCGTGAAGACCTGGAAGCGACGCTGGTTCATCCTGACGGACAGCTGCCTCTACTACTTCGAGTTCACCACTGTGAGCTTCACACTACCCTGTCCCTCCCCTCAGACCCTTTCCAGATTCTCACTAAGCAGTCCATTGTAGAGCTGGGGCCTCTTTGAGATCATTCGGTCCTCCCCCATACCCATCTTACTGAGCGGGGAAACAGCTACAAAGAGGAGAAGGGGCTGGACCAAGGTGCAAGGCAGAGCTGGGGCTTAAAGTCAGGCCTCCTAACTCCCAGCCAGGGCTCTTCCCACGCTGCTCCCCTGCCCTCTCCAGGGCTGGTCAGAGTCTGGGGAAGATGGGCACACTCCTCTTTGAGGTCTGGGGTGCCACCGAGTTCAGACAGAGGAGGCTGGCAGGCTATAGTCCATAAGGTCACAGAGTTAAAGGCGACTTAGTGACTAAACAACAACAAAACTTCCAAGTTCACTCCCTGCCCTTGACTCCAGACTCCCTTTGCTGATCCTGATCTTCCTTCTTATTCTCCTACAGGACAAGGAGCCCCGGGGAATCATACCCCTTGAGAATCTCTCAGTGCAGAAGGTGGACGACCCCAAGAAGCCAGTAGGTGTCAGTGAGGTGGCCTCAGGCCAGAGCAGCTGCAGGAATTTCCAAAATAGAGTGCAGGCTGGGCTGGGCTCTCAGGAGGCGAGGCCATGCCTGTGACACCTCCCAGCAGCTCAGGCTTGCCTCAGCCTCCCTCTTAGGGACGGGGATCCTGGCGTCAAGAGGCATCAAGAAGGCCTGGCCACACTGTCTCTCAGAGCCTGGCCCCTGATACTGGCTCTGGGACCTTCAATAATTCTCTGCTCCTTTCTGAGCCTCCATTTTCCCATCTGTCAACTGGGGATTTTAAGAGGAATCATGGATTTAAGTCAAGTCAGGCACATAGTAAATATTCAACATGAGGAGCCGTAGCCCCTGCCCGTTTTCTTCTCACAGGAAGGCCTGGCAGTCAGGTGTATCCTGCTGCTCTTCTAGATGCTGGTCTTGCCCAAGTGTCTAGGCCTCTCCGAGCCTCCCCGAGAGCCCACAAGCTGCCCTTTCCTCCCACCCCTGCCCTGCCCTCACCTGGCCACTTGCCCACAGTTCTGCCTGGAGCTCTGCAACCCCAGCTGCCGGGGCCAGAAGATCAAGGCCTGCAAGACCGATGGCGACGGAAAAGTGGTGGAGGGCAAGCATGAGTCCTACCGGATCTCAGCCTCCAGCGCCGAGGAGCGGGACCAATGGATCGAAGCTATTCGGTAATGGGTGGCTGGGCTGGTGGGGAGGGGTCTCTGGTCACCTTCCAGAAGCCCCTGCTCCTCTCAGGGTCCTGTTTCCTTGTCCGTAAAGAGGGCTAACTCCAGAATTTCCCTCCTGTTTCTGGCATGCAAATCCCTTCCACCATGTTCCGTGGGCATCCTCTCTGGCCCAGAACACAGAGGATCAAGGCACTGAATTCATGGGGATGGTGGAGGATCATGGGAGATGTTACGAGTAAAGCTCTTTGCCCGTCGCCTGTTAGCATCAGGATCCTAAGTGGTCCTGGAAAGACCTGGTGTAGGTGGGGAGGAGGACTTTCTAGGTGGAAGGAGCAATGCAGACCAAAACAAAAGGGCAGGTTGGGCATAGGGATGCCTGGACATCTTCCTGGATAGCTGGTGCTGGACAGTGTGGGACTGGGCAATGCCAGGCAGTGCAGGGGGTAGGGCTATGCGGGGACCAGGCAGCTTGGGGGCTGAGCAGTGGGAAATGAGGCTGCAGAGGATGGCGAGGCCTTGGTGGCCATGGCAGAGAGCTCAGGTTTCTCCTGAGAGTGCTGGAGAGCCACAGACAGGTGTGGCCAGCGGAGAAAGACCACTGTGCAGGGGCTGGAATGTGACAGGTGTGATGGGCAGTGGAGGGACAGGAGGAGGGGCAGGATAACACCTTGACTCTGAGTCCATGGGGGGATACCAGTGGGGGTGACAGAGGAAGACATGGAAGTGGTCAATGGGCCGGGGACAATGTATGTCCCAGAGACTTGTAGGGTCTTTTCCCTCTGACCTTGCAGCAGCCCTGTGAGCCTGCCAGGCCAAACCCACTCTCATCTTCATTTTACAGATGAGGACTGAGGTCCAGAGAGGGAAAGGACATGCCCAGGGCCACACAGCCAGAGAGGGGCAGAGCTAGGACTGGCAAGCAGCTCTGCTGGTTCCACCTGGGCTCTTGTCACCTCCTTCCAAGTCTGACAGGGCCTGGGGAGGTGTCCAAAGATACGTGGGGGCAGAATTCCAGAGGCTCTCAGGCCTGTCTGTGTCATACCCTGGCTCGGTCCTTGGTGGGGTCATCAGGCTTTTCCCCTGCAGTGGGGCAGGCCAAGCCCGCCCTGGGAGAAGCATACCCTTATTACAAGCCCTGGGAGATGAGACCCCTTTGCCAGCCCATTCAGCCCTGAAACCTTTTCCCTACCCTCACTCCAGAGCCAGCATCACTCGTGTCCCCTTCTATGACCTGGTCTCTGCTCGGAAGAAGAAGATCGCCAGCAAGCAGTGAGCTTCCTTGGAGGTGGTGCCTGGTGTCCTGCGAAGCCCATGACCTGTGGTACCTGGAGATCCACTCCCACCCCAGGGCCTGCAGACATCCTCCCTCAACCCCCTTCACTTTGACCTGACAGCGGAGGGCAAGGGTGGGGGAGGCAGGGCTCAAGAGCCGGGTCTCCCTCAACCCCCTTCACTTTGACCTGACAGCGGAGGGCAAGGGTCAGGGAGGCAGGGCTCAAGAGCCGGGGTGGGTGGGAACCACCAAGGTCTCAGAGCCCGATCATGAGGCTGCTGGCCCTGGGCATCCAGGAAAGGCCCCACCCCTGCCCCAAGTCCACTACAGGAAGGGGTAAGGAAAGCGGCCACAGCCTGGCACCCTGCCCTCTCTCTGGGCCTCAGTTTCCTCTTTTGTTAGAAGTCTCCTTGCCCTCTGAAATGCCATCAGCCTTCAAAGCAGGAGGGGCCTGAGTGCTTCCTACCCTCCACCATGGCGATGCCTCCTCCTTCTGCTCAGGGGGTTCTCAGCCCGCCCCTCCCCATCCTCAGTGGGAGCTTGGCCCTCCCTGCTCAAGGGACACAGGAGACACATCTCAGATCCATGGACATGACCTCTGGGAGACCCAAGAGCACTGGACTAGGAGCCTGGACATCACAGTCTCAGTCCTAGCTCCGTCTCAACTTGCTGTGTGCCCTCGGTGGAGTCACATTCCTTCTCTGGTTCCTGGAAAACTGTGGTGCTTGGATAGGAATGTGCCTATCCTTCTGGCTTCTGGCTGTGTGCACTCTACCCCTCAACCTGCCAGCAATGACACCTCTCAGACTGCTTCCTGTCCGTGGAAGGACAGGATTGTGCCGGGTCTCCCAAGGAGTTTCTGGCTGGAGATGTCTACACCTGTTTACTGAGCTGGAAGGGGCTCTGGACTGAAGACTGCTGAGAGGCGGAGAGCAGAGTGGGCCCATCCTCAAGGATGTTCATTTCAGAGAAGGAACAGGTGGGACTCCTCAAGCAAATGGCAGAGAGCATCTCAAACAGACGTACTCAAGCAGAAACGGTGGTACAACCAAGAAGCCAAGAAGAGAGCTTTGTGATCTGTGGTTACCAGGAGGGCTGCCTGGAGGCAGCAACCATGCCATGAGTGATGTACACCCTTGTAGCAGAGTCTCTGCCACAGTTTCCTTGCTGGACTACTGCCCAGGGCTCCTGAGGTGATGAGCAGCTGCCCCAGAAGGGTCCTAGCATTCTGAGACTCTCTGGCACAACACCATCAAGAATGAAGCTGGCTTCACTACCCACAGGCAGGCAGTTCCGTCTCCAGGGAGGCCCCAGCCTGGAGGAGCATTCCACAGACAGGTTTCCTCTCAGTAGCATGACTTACCCTGCCACTCAGGCCCTGGGGGAGTCCCTAGAGGGAAGTTCCTGGCAGGAAACCAGGAGATGGGGTTACCTCTGCTCGACTGTCAGCCTGCATAGGTGAGCCGGACAAGGTGAATTCCCCCAGGGAGGGGAGGCAACTTCTCTTCCCCCACCTCACAACACACACACACATGCACACTTTCTGTGGGGTCAGGACAGAGTAGCTGCCTTGCAAGTGGTGAGACCACTGTCTCTGGAGGTGTGTAAGCACCTCGTAATGATACTGCACTGAGGAGGATCTGTTTGGGTGTGACAAGAAGAAGATTTATAGGACATTTGAGGTCTTCCACAGGCCCCATGGCAGCATGGGAGCTGAGTGCCACATCTGCTGCCTTTTTTGGCCCCTGAAGGGGCAGCCAGAGATCATGGGCTCTGAGGTCCTCTCCTGCCACTGGCTGTGCAATCTTAGTCCACTTTCTTCCCCTCTCTGGTCCTCGGGTTCCTCCCCTGTCACTGAGAGGGTGGAATGAGGGATTTTTTGGGCATGAGTGGCTGTTCTCGGAATCACTCAGAATAGAGAATAAAGCTCATGAGTCAACTCGTGGGTGGGGCTCTGTCCTCTCCGTGACCACATCTGCCATCCTGTAGGCCAATGAGGACCCTTCACACTCATCCCTTTCCCAGCTGGAGAGCAGGAGGGTCAGATGGAGAAGAGTGGACTCTCAGCAGACCCTGGACCCTCATCCTCTGGCCACTGGGGGCTGCCACCTGGACAGAAATCTCCAGGGGCTAAATTTGAAGCAAGGGTCCCTCTGAGCAGGGGCAAGAGTGCACTGGTTCTGCCAAGGCCAGGGGAAAGCAAAAGAACTTCCCAATAGCCCGTGCTGTCTGAAGAGAGAAAGGATGCTGCTCATGAGATAAGTAGTGAGTTCCCTGTCCGATAAGGGATACAAGTACAGATTGGATACAATGATCACTTGGGGAGTCACAGAGGGTCTTGAATTTGTTACTCTTCATTCATATTTTCCACACTCTTTATTAAGTGCCTTGTTTCAAGCACTGGTAGAACAAGACAAAAGCCATGCCTGCATGGGACTGACGTTCTGGTGGTCCTGAGTTCTAGGCAGCCCCTTCAGATGTGTAGGGCACTGAAATGGTCCCCACACCTTAATCCAGCCCCTTGTCTGAAATGCCACCATTGAGTCACTCCTTGAAGACCTTAAGGCGTTGAATTGATCAACTTTCATTCGGCCCAGGTTTTTGAAGCACCTACTATGTGCCAGGCTCCACACACAGAACCAAGGATCCAAAGATGATCAAGGCAAAGCCCTTGCCCTCCAAAGGAACTCGAGTCTAGTGGGGAAAGACAGCCCATTTCAACTCATGCTGTTACACAGAGTGGAGCACAATGGGCCAGTGGAGGGCTGAGCTGGACAGAGAGGCAATCCTGGGGACTTCTCGAAGGAGTCATACTTGAGTTTTGGCAGCCAGGTAGGAGAAAAGACATGCACCTGATACTGCAGGGAGCTCACTTCAAGTCTGCCCCTCCCCATCACACACATCCTGACTGCGAACTCCTCACAGGCCAGACTGCCACTCCTCGGTGCCTGGCACACAGGATGTACGATAATTTTTTGACTGAAGTCAACTGAAAAGACTCTCTGGGCCTCAGCATTAACTAGCACAAATATCTAGAGGCGCAGGGAACTGTGGGAACAGTGAAGCGGCTAGCTGGGGGTGTGGCTAGGGAGGTGGGCGGGGCCACATCGCAATCTGGTCCAGCTCTGCCTTGCTGGCCCAGGACTCCCCAGCTCCGCTGGCTTCTGCCCACCTTCCTGTCCTTCTGACACTCCTCGCTCTGGGCAGCAGGGGGCTCCCACCACTCGTGGATGAGAGGTTCCACGACGTAGCCAGAGGGGAGCTGAACTGGCTGCCCCGTGGAGGGATGAGGCCTCGGCCCAGAGTAGAGCCTTGAGGTCGGCCTCATGGAGAAGGATGCACCCGGTCAACTAGGACCTGTGGGCTCCAGCAGCCCCAAGCACCTGAGGGCACAGATGCTCATCAGCCGCCCCGCTACCTTCACGTGGGGCACAATCACCCCTTCTAAGCCTAGGAGTCGGGATACCCTGTCTCTCTGGCTTTCTGGTTGTGTGACCGTGAACTAGTAGCTTGCCCTCTCTACTACTTACTTCCTCTCTAGGAAGATGTGATCTTTCTTCCTGCAGGGTCCAGACAGGTGAGTTTCTGGACATAAAAGTTTAACGGGGACTTCCTTATAAGTCTCAGACACGGGTACCAGGTGGCCCCTGCCCTGAGATGAATTGAGACTGGTGTGTGGGGCAGGGGGGTTGGGTGGCAAGTGAGAAGGTGCCACAAAAGCCCCTTACTGTAATAGGTCACAGGGGGCAGTAGTGAGGCCATCCGGAGGACATGGGTTCAAAGCCCAACTCTACCCTGTGTCTTAAGCAAGTTTCCTAGGCATTCAGAGCCTCAGATTTCCCACCTATAAAATGAAGATAATAGAAATACTTAGAACAGTGTTGAATACCTATTCAGGGTTAAGTTCCATTATTATTATTATCACTTAAAGGCAAAATATACATGCTTTGATGAAGATACAAAACAGGCTAGACCATTGGAGGAGGAAAGATTCATGTAGGGGTTGAGGGACTGGTAGATCTGGGAAAGCTTCTTGGCAGAGATGCCCATGAAAGATAAAATAGCTGGAGGCCTGGCTCTCCTAGCCAGGAGGAGCCAAAATAAGGATGCTTGATAAAGCTATGTATTTCTGGGACTCCCTTGAGTGTCCCAGAACAAGACCCCAAAGCAAGAAGGTGAAAAGTTGAGTGGGGGCTGAGCTGTGTGTCCCAGGCTGTAGTCCCTTGTGTCTCCAAGGCTATTTTGCCCTTTGTCATGAAACTCTAACTGGGGATCCAGTGACATGGCTGCTGACTGAGGCCATCACAGAAAGAGAGAGAATAAGCTTGGCACAGGATGGCCTGAGGTGGAGTAGGAGTGGGTAAGAAGGACCCCTGCCCAGTGCCTGGAAGCATAGAGCTGGTCCTGGGGCCCTGTGCCCAGATGCCTGGGGCCAGGAAATGAGGAGGGGGCGGACAGCCAGGAGTCGAGTGGCAGGTGTGAGAGACCTGGAGAAATTGATTTATTAGAGACTATGAAAGGAGCTAAATATGTTTGCCAGCTCAGCGATGACTCAGGCATTCCCCAGGGGTCCACAAAGTGTGAGCATCACGGAATCAAAGTCAGGCCTCCTCCCACCCCGGCTCTGCCAGCCTGGAGCCTGTCCTTTGTAATGGAAGGACCACCCAGAGTGCCCTGAGAGCAGGGTCCTGGGGGGGGAGGGGCGGGCAGCAGAGACCTTGCCCCTCCAGCCAGCATCCCCTGCCTGCCCCCTTACCAGCCAGACTTCTCCAGAATGGCTGAAGAATGAAGCTTCAGAGTGGACATATCTGGGTCGAAGTCCTGGCCTGGCCCCAAATTGCTGTGTGATCTTAGACAAATGACTGACCCTCTCTGGTCCTGCGTTCACCAGGGAGGACAGATCCCCACCAAGTCAGGGCCCTTCCTCTGTCTCTATGTCTGACAGTGTCATTCCTACCCAATTTGGCTTCTTTCAGACAGCTGTGAACACAGCCGCCTCTGCCTAAAATCTACCAACTTCCCTCCAGGAGACAAGCCAGATTCCACAGGGCCTTATTTCCAGAGAACTTGCTCTTCCGGTGCCAGGTTCCTGGCTGGTGCTGGGCTCTGGGAGAAACAAGAATGAATCAGTCAGAGGCTGGAGGC